CCATCCTCTGAATCACATCCTATCAGCTCGGCGTGTCGTACGGAGATATTTTGGGTGTTTGTGCCGTTAAAGTCGAGCCTTTGCAGCCTCAGCTCACTTTCTTTTTAAACCTTTCCTCTGTTTTATCTCGGAGCTCCTTCATTAACCGCAGAAAGAGGCTCCTTGCTGGTTCTCACGTGTCCTTGTTCTGCTGCACAAGTCACAAAGACGCTTGCTGACTGTGGCTGCGTAAGCCAGTTTTCTGATTCTGCGACTCGGCGGGACCCCGGGGGAGCACATTTTCATCGCAATAAATGCCAGAGCTAATCGCTGCGGTGACACCCGCTGCGCTAAGAACAAGTTTGTCAGCGCAGTGTGACTGGATGCCAGCGGCCGTGTTTGCACGAACACGCCGCGGTGGCTCGTCGCCAGCAGCAGCTGAGCCCCTTCCAGCAGCAACAAGGCCTCCTAACCCGCGGCTTTGTTGTGGAAGCTCGTTTAGTTTCAGGCTGCTGCCCTCCTTACGTCAGGGTCTTCCGCTCGGCCTCCTCGTTCGGCTCTGGCAGGCACAGATCGGTCAGGAAGACGGAGCGAGGTGGCGGCGGCGGGGGGGAAACTCGACGCCTTTTATTTAATCTGAATGCTGCACATGAAGCAAAGTCAATGGTTTGAGCGCTCGCGGTGGCTCGATGCTGAGTGGTTTTCTATTTGCGCTCCGTCTGGGCCACTTCACTGGAATGCCTTGGCCGGGCGACAGCGTTATTTTATTGCAAATCACTTGATAATGGCTGTTTTAGCCGAGCGTTGAACGCAGGCCAAACGTGTGCAGCTTTGAAGTGCTCAGCGGCTGCGAAATGTACGCAAATTAGTAACGGGGCTGTTGTGATCAGACAAAGGAAAACCTCCATCCGTCTCAGTGTTAGCGTGCTTTTTTAATTTTTTTTTGGCAATATGACACAAATGTTGATTATTTTGGGGTTATTTATTTCACTAAAAAGGAAAAACAAAAGGTGTTGCCAGCTCTGGAGAACAACGGCGCTCCACGTACTGTAGAGGTTTCACTGTTTGCATTGGTGTTAATATGAGTACAGTTCAGCCGGAAAGTCTTTTTGTGACTGTTGGTCGCTGCTGGATTCTCGTGTTGTTCCAAGGAGCGCAGAATCGGGTACAAATATCCCAATTTTAGGCGTAGATTTGGTTAATTTTTCCCGACAGAAACAGAAGTTGCACATGATGAGTTCAAAAACTGTCAGAAAGTTAAAAAATCCAGTAATTTTTTTCTGTTTTTACGGTTTCTTTATATGATGAGTTTAGGATTTTTTCCAGAGAGTTAAAGAGAATAAACATGTTCTGCTTTTTGTGTCCTTCTTGTCCTTTAGTGTGTCATGTAGCTGCTTTTTTTTGATCATGGTCTGCAGACTTATAAAGTCCACACTAAAACTCTCCGTCTGAAGTCCAGGCTTTTCCGCCGTTACTCTTCTACATCATCGCGCAACACATTTTCATAATGCCTTATCTCCTCACTAGAGCTGCTTCTGCTACATCTTTACCTAAACTCTACCTGGCTTTGGTCGAACCAGCTGACCAATCAGAGCAGGAGGAGCTTCTTAAAGAGACAGGCGCTAAAATTGAGCGTTTCAGACAGAAGAGCTGCAGCAATGCACACAATAAGAAAAATAATGTCTTTTTTTAAACATTAAAGCATGCAAACATATTCAAACACACCCAAAAATACAATTATAAATCTGTAAATTTACAGGATGTGGGCTCTTTAAACCCGTGTTTCATGTCAGACCTTTCCGTTATCTCCCGTTTTCTGTAATTTCCATCCAATAAATGTCAAATAATTACAAAGCAGTTCTTCTTTGCACCTTCACTGTGTCTTTTTTTTTCACATAACAAAGCAGTTTTGGTCGCCTGAAGCTGAAAAAACCTTATTAGGAATATACGTTAATCAGCATTTTTGAAGGTACTTTAAACCATGAACACAAACTCTCTCAGCTGTTTCTAAGGTGTCCTCGTCGCTGAACGCTACAAAAATCATCTTAAAATAGTTCTTCTCAAAGTGATAGAGGCAAAAGCCTTCAGACAGAAGGTGAGAATGGGGAAAATGATGTTTTTTGAACATTAAAGTATGCAAATATATTCTAATGCACACTAAATATTATATTATCAGCCTGTAAATGTGCAGAATGTGAGCTCTTTAACTGATATTTTTTATTAGTTTTTTTTTTTTTTTACTTACTTTATTTTATTCACTTATTTTCATTTTTAATTTTTTAAATAGTATTTAACTTTAGCTCTTTTTTCTCTTGTGATTGGTGTTTTTCTCTTGCTGCTGCTGTACCACAGTAATTTCCCAGACTGGGATAAATAAAGTATTTTTCTATTTCTATTTCTATTCATATGTGCATCAGCTAGTCTGTCAGATAAGAAATAATGTTAAAGGAGTTTGCAGTTTGCAGTTTTTCAGGGATTTTTTTCCCATAATCAAGTAGTTTTAGTTGCCTAAAGCTGAAAATCGCTCCCATGAATGCACATTAATACACACTTTTAACCTTAAATGCAAACTTCTCTTAATCTGAACCATTTTTCAGGTTTCATAGAAGCTGCAAAACAAAATCCCAAAGTGGTTCTTTTTTTATCCTGCGTGCCACCTTTTTTTCTCCAGGATCTAACAAACAGTGTTGTCTGATCAGAAGATGCTCACATGGTTTGTTTTTATTCAAGGCGTCTATCTGCTGGACTTTTTGTTTTATAAGGAGAAGAGTCAGTGGCTCAGATCACCTGTTTCTATATTCGTGCCTTATTAAATTGGTTTCTGGAGGTGCGTCCGGTGAAGCCAGATGTTACGCAACAGCTCATCACTCCGGTAATTCCACATCCAGGTCGTCTCTGAGCGTCTCGGCGTCGGTCGATGGAGAGATCCCACCTGCTCTCTGATGAGAATTTGCCGCCCTCCGGAGCCGTTACCTTGGTTATCTCTGTTTCATTAGATTAGAGACGACGGCGGCATCACTTACCCCCTCTTGACGGATAAATGGACTCAATCTGAATCTTATCAGGCCTCTCAGGGCTGCGGCTTCGCTCCAGCCAAGGCTAAAGTCCTGCAGAGGAGGGATGATGTCAGCGTCCAGCCTGACGACGGATTTATGAGTCACTGCGTCGATGGAGCTCATGAATGTGTTGTGTGTGAGATGTGGAGATGATTTACCTGCCGTGTGTTGCTTCAACCAGCGCTGGCAGTGAAATGATTTGATTTTAAAACACGAGAAGTTTTATGTGAGTGTGGCTGAATGTCTTTGGGTTCCCATGTCTGTAGTGTTTCTGCTTCAACAATTTATTTTGAAGTTTGCCAAACGTTTCAATAAAGCCGCTTCCTGGTCTGGTGGTTCTACGATTCATCCTTTGGAAATAACACCCGAAATGGCACCATTTATCATAAAAACAGAAAGAACTGTCGGATTTTCAGCTTTCCTGTGATTATTTAGTGAGTCATGTGCAACTTGTTGGGAAAATGAACCAAATCTGAGCTTAAAATTGTGATATAAGCACCAGATTCTGTTCAAAAATAAAAAATAAAAAACTTTAACCTTGCCAGCAGAACTAAAAAGCGACAAAAAATTGGGGTTTTTGTTTCGGCTGAAGTACAGGCAGTGTTTACACAGAACAGAGAGGAGTCAGGTGTGGAAACAAATTTATAATAAAATAAAAAAAAAAAAACAACAAATTGCCAAAATTAGTAAAAAATTCGCTTGGTTGTCAACTTTCTGACAAATCCTTGAACTCATCGTCTACAGTTCTGTCGGAATAATTAGCCAAATCTAAGCTCCAGATCGTGATATTTCATTCTGTATGTCTTATTTTGAAAGGAATTGGTATTTGCAGTATATTAACTAATTTGAAGCTTTTCTACTGAAATGATTTAGGAGCAGAACAGCCGCACTTATTCACATGATTTCTGAAAATACATCAACTGGTCATGTACAAATATGAGCTACCATTCTTACATCATCTACCATGCTGCTGTTGTAGCGCTGCTTCTGAAACCGAGAATGTGGTTGGATGAGAGTGACTCGACCAACCAGTCCACCCATGTACATTCATTTTTGTTGGAGAAGCATCATTTCATGTTTAATCCCGATTCACTTCCACTAAAACAACATCAGAAAGCATCTTTACGCCAAAGAAAAAACAGTTTTCCTGCACAAATGGGCACCAAGCTGCACATTTTAATTATTAATGCCAACAAAAACATCCAGAAAACACCTTGATTCACTATTTTTGCTGTAACATATTGGACACAACCCCATTACAGATTAAAATCCAGACGTAGGACAATGTTGGTTGTTGGGCTGTAACATGCAAACTGCTCTTTGTAAAGTTTACCGTCGGCCTTCTGGCCATATCGACGACTGGTTTTAAGAATGGCATCAGTTAGTTTGGAGCCGACTCCACGTAAACGCTCAGTAAATGCTCCTACGTTAAACCTAATAGTGGTCGTTAGTTTGAAAGTCAGTCCATCTTTAACGAACTGACATTAATTTGTAGAAATCTGTCTTCACTCTGACATGGAAGAGTCTTTTTTGGGGGTAAATTCTTGTCAAAAAGGCAGAATTATACTGATTTTACTGCTAGAAAACTTCCAAAGGGAGTCAATACTTCATGTGGGGACTCTATCAACCAAGCGAGTCCAAACAGACTAACTAACATCAGAAGGCTGGTATTTATTCCCAAAAAATTTCGCAGGAGTTTTTCCGATCTCCCTCAGATCTGCTGATGGAGACACAGAGTCTTATTGTCTTTCCGTCTCTGCTGCTTGCACAGAGCCTGAGGTTGTTCAGTTCGGCCTCGCAGCTCCGGAGCTTCTGCCGATTGAATTTGGGGGGATTTTATTTATTCGTTTATTTATTTATTTATTTATAAAGGTGGAAATGTCAAAGAACTAGCCTCTCGCTTCAGGAGATCCAAACGAACCTAATAGAATAACGAGCTGCTCTTCTTCTCTCTTCTCTCGGCAGGTGTATCTCATCAATGTCACCTACTCTGACAACACCTCCCACATCATCTACAGAAGATACAGCAAATTCTTTGACCTACAGGTAACCCTCCGCCGGCTCCGCGTGGGCGCCTGTTTGTGTCGAAAACCCCCCGATTCCACCGCAGCTGCTGTGGTTTTTTTTGTCGCGCGTCGGCCCCCTCCGTGAACTGGCAGCGTTGTTTTCGTATAGATTAATGTGTAAGCCCGGCGACTGCTGGCTGTCTCCGGCCGTGTTCGCCACACCTCGTCGCCCCGCTGGATCGATGTGTGTGTTAGTAATTGGCCGGGGAGTCGGGGAGTCGCGGTTTGTGTTGCTTCGCCTCGTGGAGATGCACCGCTGCCGTCGCCTCCCCTCCTTCCATCCTCGCTCCTCTCTCTCTTCTTTCTCATCTCATCCCTGCCTTGCCCTCAAAACGTCAGGGAGCTGACAGGCCCTTTTTTATAGTACAAGCAAGAAATCCACATGGAAGTCAATTTAATGCGGCGGGCTGCTCTGATTGGTGGCTTCTTGAAATAGAGCCTCATACGGAGGAGGCCGCTTCTTTTTTTTTTCTTCTCTCTCTCTCTGTTTTTCTGGACTTGGCTCGCATGTTTAAAGTGTCTCTGTTTATTTTGGCTGTTTGTGTTCAATCCCCTCTGCAAGCTGATACCAGGCTGCAGCAGAGGTCCGCGGGTCACCGGTAAATATAAAAGCAGTGTTACTGGGCCGGGAGGAGGGAGGAGGGAGGAGGACACGTCTCAATAGCAGCAGTGTGCAGGTCCACGAGGAAATGATGTTTCAATCAGCACAGGGAAGGCTCGTCTGCTGAAAGGTCCCATTGATGGCGGCGTGAGGTGGAAATAGACCCCCGCCCCCCTGCAGCTGATTAGTGTGGAGTCACAGACAGAGGTGGAATAATAAACGCCGCGATGCACAATGCGTCGCTTCAGCGTCGACGCGAGAAGCCGAGCAGCACCATGTTGGAGAAAGTTTTTGTTTTTCTGCAGCATGATAAAAAAACAGCAACTTATAGACTGTAAGATTCAATCCGTTTGTGTTCACGTCTACATCAAGCTCGTCCTTTTATCTGCTGCTCACATCGAGGCCCCAAGCAGCTTCTTTTATTTGTTG